CCACTAGCCTAATTTTCAAATTCAAAGCCTTCTTTGAAATACCTATGCTGCCTGGATTCCCTGCCACTGACTGTATGTGATCTTGGGCAAGACAGTTCTCCTCTCTTGGCTTCAGTAACATTTCTTTCCCCTAAACCCAAGTTTTCCAGATCTCACAAGCTAAGTAGGATTAATACTATGACTTCCTAGGAATATCAGGTGTTAAGGACTTTTTCTGGTATATACTTGATACTCAGTGAATATTAATGTCTTCCTCACATTCCTTTCCAAATGATTACTAAATTACTTTAAAGTTCCCACCCACACACCACAACTTCCTTTTCTGATCAACCCTGAAGCACTAGTTTCTCCTTAAAAGTCTTTTTCATTTGTTAAATATAGTTTGCCTCGGTTAGTTCATCCATCTGAGGTCCTTTATGTGCTGTTAACTAATAACCTAAAAACTTGGGATAGTTATTTCCAAAAACACTTATGAGACTTTTCTACCAGATACCCCCAAGTGCCATACAAATGTATGTCAAAAAAAACCTCATTAACTCATTTTCCAAACTTGGTCTTCCTGTTTGTTAAAGATATTACCACTTAGTCTAAACTAGAAAGTTGTTTTGATTACTTTTCCCTCTAGCATCCAGCAGTCATACTTCAACATTCCATCTCAGAAAAGTATTTTTAATCTAACCTTTTAATTCCTGCTACCTTTGCCTTAGTTCAAAGTCATATCGCATATATGTAATGCCAGCCTCTTCCTTCTTTAATTTATCCTGCTGCCATAGTCTTCTAGGGAGATAGACAAAATGTCTTCCAAGGATGTTATGGTTGACCTATACTGAACCACTCTTAAGTTCCTAACGTGCTTTCTGTGATTTTACCCATCCAATAAACATGTGCCCAGGGGCCTCCTATGTACAAGGCACTTAGCTAAGTGCTTCATATAATGTTACATTATTTAATATTTCATATAGTTTAGGTAGTTTAATATTTAATAGCTCCACTTTTTATAGCTGAGAAAACTGAAGTTCAGATTAATTCCCCAAATCGCAGAGCTGAAAAGAAACAAAACAAAGATTCAAACACAGTCTTTTACAATCGACTGGATATTAAAATATGTGGCATTTAACTCACTACCAAAAAACAATGAATGCTAGATAAAGTAATAAAGATGAAGAATTATTCAGTAAACTATGTTTATACCAGAGGAAAAATAAAACAGAAACGTTAATAGGACATGATGTCTTCAACTACATCAAGAGCTGCATTTGAGAAAAGCCATCAGACTTTTAACCAAATTTTAGAGGACAATACTAAGGCCTAATACTTTGAGTAGTCCAGATGAGGAATGAGCAACCTAATCTCTGTCACAATTATTATAAATGCTTATCAGAATTTATGAAGGCACTGGCAATACTGTATATAAAGATACATCTGATTAGATTTTATCACCTCTTCACACACGTAAAAGCTTATGAGATTGGAATTCTCCCAGGTCTAGAACTATTTCTGTTGCTCCTGGATACATCTGCAGGGCAGAAGCTTTAGGTGAAAAGGAATTCAAGGCTTTGCTCTAATTACCCAATGCTGCAGAAATGCTCAAATATAAATTATAGAAAATCATGATCAGTAAGTTATATCTGGTTTTAAACTATAGTGTTCAACCTAATAGCACATTTCTTGACAACAAAATGTATAAAAGTCTCAGAAGACCAAAGATAATACATATGGTATATAAGCTACCAAATAATGTAAAAATTATAAAAAGATTATTTTCAAAAAACTTTTTTAAGAGTTCATTTACTTTTGTATATTTTCTGGTTTTATGATCAAGATCACTTTGGGAACAGGTTTTAATTAAAAACGTAAGTCTAATGTCAAAGAGTACAAAATTTGTTCAGTTACCATGACATGTTAAGCAAACCCTTGAGGATTTTCTACAGGTACATGTAGTTTTTTAGACACTTTCCAAGCACCAGACTTTAACTTCCAATATAGGGAAGAAATGTTATCTTTTCTATCAAGTATCAATGTTTATTAATGAGGGAAGAGATGAATTAATTCATGAATGAAAACATTAAGATTTGAAGTTTCAATCTTTACAAAGTGTAACCTTACAGGGATTCATTTTAAAAAAAAGAAAAAGGAAAGTTACTCTTCTAATTTTAACAGAAAACTTTCACCTTTTATTTATGAACCATTTGAAATTACCACATTCAACTATTTTGCCCTAAAAAAAGTTCAATTTCATATGTCAACCGAACTCATTACAATTAAACACATCACAGCTAATGACAGCATCTTCATTTTTAGGAAAAAAAAAAAGTAACAAGATACATAAGCTGGGCCTATAAAACATCCCCATATTACATCAGAATCCATGTATTACTTCTCCTATAATAGGTTTCCACAATACTTTAAAGGCTTTCTTAGTGACATTTCAATAGTAATGTCTTAACATTGCTAAAATGTAAAGTCCACTAAAACATAGGTTCGATGAGGGTAGGCTTTTGTTTTTCTTCTTTGCTGCATAGCTAGGGCTTAGAATGGTGTCTATCATAGATAAGCTCATTCATTTAACAACACATTTTTACTGAATACTTACTTGGTGTTAGATTGTTTTAGGTGTTTAGGATACCTAAGTGAAAAATCAGATCTTTGTCTTTATTCAAATGTTGAATAAAATAAAAGTCTGCAAATTGTTCTAAAGCACTTTACATGTATTGTGATAACCTTACGAGAATTTCAAAACTCATGGTCCTATCCACTATGTTGTAACACCACCATATACTTTTAAATAATTAAAATTAAAAGCAAGCTGCCTCCAGAAAAGTCCTCTAGATAAAATAATCTTGAAGGTAAGGGGTACTATAGTTACAACTCTTTATTTTATAAAAACTTGAATGACCTCAAGATACATTAAATAATCAAAGACCTTACAAGTCATGGCATACTGCAGCTGCTCACAATAGAAAAATTACTAGATTTGAGTATGTATCATCCTCAATGTGTTTGCCATGAGAGCCATACTTTATAATAAAAGCACGAGATAAACTCATACGCTATTACATTTTCTTTCTGATGAGCTTAGGCCACTGAAAAAGTTACCATTTACCATTTTTCACTTCCTAACACGACCTGAAATATTTTACTTTCCAACATGCAATAATACACAGGGCTCAATGCCTTTACTCATTTTTAATTTCCCTTGAACCCATGTAAATTAGGAGTCGAAAAAAGGAATTAAATCAATTCTGAATGAATACCACAATTAAAAAAAACAGCAACAAAAATCTTGAAATTGTTGCCAGTGCTAGTTGATTCCGTTCTTCCTTTGTTTTTAGACAAATGCTGTCGTTACACGGAACAAAATGGGTAAACAGGATAGAGAAAAAGTGAAAGAACTGGGAACAAAGCAAAATCTGGAGTCATGGTTACAACACAAGGATAAACCCGAAGATAAGGACCAAAGCTGGCTCTTTACACAGCCGTTGTGAATGAGCCATTAAATCCTTCTGCTTATCTATTGTCCCGGCTCTAAAGCTGGCCAGCGACACTTCCTTAGGAGATGCTCTGGCATCCTTCCCATAGAAGATGCTGTAGCCATGGGAAAACGGTTACTTACAGAAACTGGCTAAGGAAAAGTGTCAGGAGCCCGAGGTTGGAGACACCCTGGGCCCCAGCAAAGATTGCTTGCTGGTGGCTGAAGCCGGAGACATTAATAGAGAGACCGGTTTGCAAGAAAAAGAAAATCTGGCCAGAGACTGAGAGGACACTCAGCAGTCGGCAAGACTAGAAAATGGTAGGAGAGGACGTTGCCAGAGGCGGCTCAGGCTCCGGGCGGGGAAGCCCAGCTGAAGACCGTCTGAGGCGGGGCAGCGGGGGACTCATTCTCTCCACCGTCGGGGGC